ATCAATTGTTCTTGATTTTTATTAATGAAGGTATCCTGTATTTGTGGAAAAACTTCAGAGAGAATGTTGACATCAGGAAACACCCCATCTTAAATAGGTCATTAGTCATATAGGTGATAGTGTCACAGAGTTGGGGAAGGTATTACTTTTCAAATCTGTGACTGACCTCATCACCAGAGGTGTGCCAATGAATCAGGTGAAGTGAGTGTTTCTTGGAAAAATCTAATGTTTAGTAAATTACCTAAATTACTAAATGGGACATTGGCTTCCTTGAAGAATTAAATTCACCTCATGAACAAGTGAGCAAATTTTTTTTTCAACAGGTAATTTACTCAGTATGTAATCTCAGCTTGTATATGGTAATACTGGTCAAATTTTATTGAAGAAAAAGAATTTGCATTTTAAAACTCTTTCCAGTTGCTCAGCCAGCAGTATGGTTCTTTCACACAATATCTGAATGTGTAAAACCAGTAAACCAGCACTTTGGTCAGCTGCTTGTAGGCAGATGAAACAGTGTTTGACAGGATATCGAAATTAGTTCCCACATAATTGTTCCATTCTTTTGGTAAAAGTACTGAATGATTTGCTTTAGAAAATATATTTTGTTTGGTTCCATGCAATATTTAATTTGAAGTGAAAAAGTGAGAAGGCTGACTAATACAAAATGTGAATTATAGAATCAATTTAAAGGGATTGAAAGGAGACTATGTTATTTTCTTCAAATTTTGTGTGTTGTTATTATATTTGAAATAGTAACTGAGACTCTTTCTCTGACATCTTCTGTTGCCCCAACCCTGTCCATAATTTGAGTTTCAGTCAAAAGATATAATGATAAGAGTGTATCTATTTTTTAGTGCTAATTATATGCCCAGTCCCTACAATAAGTACTTACATATATTATTAGCCCATGTAATCATTACAAAAGCCTCAACCTAGGGGACATACAAATATCATCTCCATTTTATAGATGTGGTAACTGAGACACAGAGATGTTAAGCCACTTGCCCTGAGTCACACAGCTCGTAAGACTGAAGAAGTCTGACTCTAGAAGCCAAGCTTCTACTATATTTGTCAAACTTGAGCTTGCATCAGAATCACCTGGAGAGCTCCTTAAATTATAGATTTCTGGGTGCTACCCCAGGGTTTTTGAGTCAGTAAGTCTGGGTTAGGGCCTGAAAATTTATATCATAATGAGTTTCTAGGTGGTATTGATGCTGTTGGTCTCTGGGTACCACTTTAAGAGGCATTATGCCTCTGTAATACAAATAACCCAGGAAAGGATTATTATGGCAGAAAAAGTCAAGGCTTTTACATTTTGAAAATCCAGACTGAAACCACTGAAGATGTAGAAAAACATGTAATTATCTGGCACTTTTGGATCCTGAGACTAGAAAAGCTTCCCAGGATAGAGGGAATGAAGGAAAGTATAGACACTGTTGGTTTCCTGAGAAGGGATTTCTGGACTCCTCCCCAGGGAAGGCTAAGAGGATACAGGGAGAAAAATAGAAGCCCCAGATAACACTGGTAGAGCTTGAGCAGAAAAACCCTGTTTCCTCTACCAGAGGGAGCCTGTGGAAGCTGCAAGGCCTTAGAGTTCCCATTGCTCAGCATGCTGGAGAGACAAGAGAAGCAGCCACCTGGAGTGTCTCTGTGGCCAGGTGTGGCATGCCAGTACAGAGTTCCTGGAGTCTCAGCAAGGGGCAGAAGCAGGAAAATCATCCCCATGGGTGTTCGGAAGGACTTGGATATGGCTGGAAGAAAGCGTCTGACTTGATGAGAGTGACCAGCATTGGTCCTGCTCTGGTGTATGACAAAGGTGATAGGGGGATGGGGATGTCTCCTGGATGCTGCATGGAGAGATGACCACAGGGAGGCCCAGAAGCCCATCCTCTGCACCCCCGCATAGGAATCATATAACCCTTCTGCCCCCCAAACTCAGAGCCATCCCTGGAACAAAGAGATGGAGGGGTCCTTCCCAGCATCTTGAGGAAAATAAGCATAGTAAAACAAATTTAGTTCTATAAAGAAAGCTACATTCTTGCATATGAGTTTGTGTGATGAAATCTATACTTACTGCAAATTGGTTGCTGCGTGGAAATTTAAAGAATGCTAGTCCAGGGGACATTTATGTCACAGACTGATTAAGAGACCCAAGGGCAGATTTAAAGCCAAATCATCGTAAGTCAGTAGAGGTGACCCTGCGGAAGGATGGGTGTCCAGAGAAGACTTGGCAGACTTTGGAAATAATACTACTGAACTGCAGAGAGACTTAGTTTGAAAAAGAACAACCAAAATGCCTTAAATTTACAAGGCAGAAATAAAATAAGTGCCTGAAAGGAGAAAGAAAGGGCAAAAGTAGGCTTGTAAGAGTTTATTGACACAATTCACCTATGATTCAGACTTTCTTTCCCTGGAAAGCAAAGGGAACCTCCAGTGTTGTCAGCCCAGATCAACATGGCAGTGGGAGGACATTACCCTGTCAAAATAGCATCTGTCTTGACCTTCAGCAAGCAGTGACGTGGAGCCAACGTGGAAATCCTATTATTTGAAAAGAATACTGGACCCTGAATCTATCAAGCCCTGAAGGGCTAGCCATTGGCTAGCCTGAGCTACAGTTTTCTTACCTATAAAATTGAAATAATACTTCCCTGATAGAGTATTACTTTTTATATGACACCAAACATATCACACTTGACACGTACCTGCAACCAAATTGCCTCTATTTTTTGCAAATATAAAGAATACGGTAGTCCCCTTTCATCCACATAGTCTACATTCCAAGCTCCCCAGGTGGATGCCTGAAACCATAGATAGTACCAACAGAAAGTGAAATCATGGGAAAGGGAGGACTGAAATACGTTTGACATAATGTAAAGTTATCAAGCTTGGAAGCAACAAACAAATTATATGGTAAAAAGTGATATTTGACACCAAAGCTTTCTGTTAAATGAAAAATTCTTGACTGTCTTTAAAACATCAATTTCTCATTTTGTCCTTCATCTAATATCTAAGAATGAAGAATCTTTATAATTATAGATATTCTTTAGTCTGTATTTACAGAAGGTAGATTTACCACAGTGTATGGGCCCATTATTTTTCTCTTTTTAGGAAATAAAATTCCTGATTAAGTAAAAGCAGAAACATGCCTAGACAAAAGACAACATTTCCTAGTTTTCTTTGCAGATAGGTGTGTTCATATGAACAGGTTCTGGTCAATGAGAAGTGAATGGAAGGGTTATGCGGTACTCCTAGAATGCCCCTTAAAAAGGAGAGTGTGAGAGTTTTAGCTAACTATGCAGTTTAGAGTAGGGGGCACAGTCCACACAAGTCTTCCCTCACATCTAATACCAATTTCAAGTTTAGGGGGTTCACAAACCACCTTCAGTTTCAATAATTCACTAGAAAGATTCACTTACAGAACTCACAAAGTAAAGCTGTCATATTCACAGTTATGGTTTATTGCAGGAGAATCGTACAAATTAAAATTATCCAAGGTAAGAGATGCATAAGGCAGAGGCCAGGTGAGGCCCAAATGCAGAACTTCTAGTTGTTCTCTTCCCATTAAAGACAGTGTTAACTCCTCCTGGTTATGACGTATGACAATACACATGTAATATTGCCATGCAGAGAAATTCACTTGAGCCTTGGTGTCAAGAGTTTCTATTAGTTCTCCATCACATGTTGCCTGTGTAGCTCATCTGTAGTTTGCAACTCTTCCTGGAGGTTGGCTAATAGCCACAGTGTCTAGTTACTCTGGAAGTCAGAACCAATACTATGTGGCCTCTGTTATAAATCACATTGTTAGACTGTCCAGTGGTCAAAGACCTCAAGCAAACAAAGATAGTCCTATCATGCAGAGGATTCTGAGGGCCAAGAGATCACCTCCCAGTAGTTGAGGGAAAAGGCCAGACCTCTCTTTGGATAACATTGATTTTTTACTACATAGAGGGTCAAGACTGTCTTCCTCTCCTTTATCCTGCTGCTGAGAGCACCAGTTTGGTAGGTGTTGCTCTTGGAACCATCCTCATGAAGATAAAACCACATCCTGGAGTTATTGTGATGGGGTCATCAGAGACTTGGGTCTCTGATGACTTCATGTGGCTGAAGTCATCCACCAGCATGGACTCTTTTACACAAGTGAGAATTAAAAAATCTATCTTACGCCATTTATCTTGACTATTTTTCCTCACAATCATTAAATATAATCCTAACTAAAACTGCATGCTTCTGCCTTTAAAAATGTCCTTATTTAAAAAAAATGTCAATAATTGTCAGGAATGTATGATTCTGATTTTCAACCTCAAAAATAATACACATTTTTGAGAAGTGTATAAAAATACACTTTTATACAAATGCAATTAAAAATGTAAAAATACAAATGCAATTAAAAAATTGCATTGTAAAGGCAAAAGTTCTCTCCATGCTCAGTGCTTGAGGGGTTCCAAACTTTCATCATTGTATTCAATGTCCATTTTTTACTGAGGACACATTTGAGCACATCTTAGTTTATAGAATTTTTATTTTTATACCAATACTAATATTTCCCATAGTCTTATTCACAGTATCCTTATATCAGGGTAACTCTACTTCCCTTCTCATTCTTTGTAAGGGGGACCTTTTAGTGACAGGTGACAATCATTTTCTCTATAGTCACCTTTTGGTGTGCTTGCACACCCTGTCCCCATCCAAGTGTGTCTTTCCTCTACTACCACTCATGAAACAGAGTTATAATAGCCATAATTCTCTTGCAATCAGTCAATTGCTGCAATTAACAAATGGTTTATTAGAGTATTAACCTACATTAGCTGAAAGGCTAGATCATTAGCTGCTTTCGATAACCATTTCTCAAGGTTTATGACTTAAATAATCACCTAAATGATGACTTTTATTCTTTTACCTAGATTGAAACAAAGTTTCATAAGAACTTGGAATTTAGGGATAAAATGAACAATATTTGTTAAAAAAATATCTGTAGACTTGTGCCCTCTTTTTATTTTTAGGGCCTTGGTGTTTGCATTAGAAGCTCCAAGCAAAGATAAGATAGAGAGAGACTCTGTAACTGCCATGCACTGAGGAAGCATTTTCTACGACAACATGCATTTGTCTCTCATGGATTGTGGTATGTAGGTAAATAAAGTGTTTTCCTTTTCAATTCTAATTTCTTATATTGATAATATCAAGTTTTAACACAAAATATATAGCTTCAATGTTTTGTGACTTATTCATTGCTAAGCTATTACTGTGTATCTCTATTTGGCATCTCTAGTGATTCGGGATAAGTAAAAAAAAGGCAATGAAATTCATAAATTTGATCATGCAACATGACTGCTCACAAACCTTACCTATGCTCAATTGCCTACAGTGTAATAAAGATTTTATTTATAGAAAAGGTGGTAGGTTTGGGTTCTAACTCATTGAATGCCAGTTTCCCTATCTAAGGTGGGTATGGCAGTATTAATATTTTTATTCCTAAATATTTTGAGAATAAAATGAGATAGTGCCTATGAAGATTTTATGAATGGGATGAGAGATCAAAATGTCACATCTATTTCCATCTTGCTAATATACCTAGAAATGAATGCTTTAGACCAGAGAGATGTGTAGTTTCTCATTGAATTCTGTCATTCAGTCATTTAGATACTTTTAACTATATAAATCAGATACAAATTTGCCATGAGACATTAAAGCTATTTTACTTTGAAGGTAGACTGTAACCAGTTTTGTTTTGATTGACTTGGCTCTGATGAATAAAAATAGTTTATTCATCAAAGGAGAAATATAAACCATTTCTTGTTCATCTCTATAGCTACTCTGGCATATCTCACCCGGTGAGTTTTGAACAAATATATGTTGAATTTCTCCGATACATATGGTAAAAATTAATCTCGCTTTTTGGTGATCCCTCAATGATAATATCTTTAGAAAGTAGATTTCTTTTTTCACATTGTCTTGTATCAGCTCTTTACTTTTCTGCTGACTCTGCTAATTTATAGAATTATTAAGAGCATAGACATAATCTGTTTCTCTTTGTATTCCTCATAATGTCTAACATCATACTTTCTCTGTAGCATAGCATTTCCTAGAGATTTTTCATTGAAGACTAATACTGTAGGATATTGTATTAGTTTCTTATTGCTGCTATAACAAATCACCACAAATTTAGTGGCTTAAAGCAACACAAATTTATTATCTTACATTTCTGGAAGTCAGAAGTCCTGAGTCAATCTTATTGTGCTAAAAAAAACCACCAAAAAACCAAGGTGTCAGAATGGTTGGTTCCTTTAGAGGCTCTAGGGGAGAACTATTTCTTGCTTTTTTCAGCTTCTAGAGACTCCCTTCATTCCTTGGCTTGTGGTCTCTTCCTCCATCTTCAAAGCCAGCAGTATAACATCTTCAAATCTCTCTCTGCTTCCACGTATCATTGCCTTCTCCCTGCTTCTGACCTGCCTGCCTCCCTCAGGGACCCTTGTGATTATCTTGAGCTATGCAGTTAATCAAGGATCATTTCTACATCTCAAGACCTGTAACTTAATAAAGTTTTGAAAGTCCCTTTTGCCAATCAGGTACATGTTCATAAATTTTAGGAATTAAGATGTGGGCATTTTTGGGGTGCTATTATTCTGTCTATCAAGATATTGCTTGGTATAAAGGAGAGCATAAAAGAATTCCATAATCACATAAGTGTGGGAAATATTTGGTATAAATAACATGAACATGTGAGTTTTAATGCAGGATTTTTCTGAGCCTTTATTATAACTAGCATATGTTATAATATTTCTGTTAAGGCAATATAGAACATAATATTTCCTGAACTTTTTAGTAATGGGCATCTTCCTCCCTACCCTCAAAGAGTATTTAATGGACCAGCATTTGTGGTAGTCATGGGGGTAGCGTGAAGAGGAAGTCTGGAATCTTTTCTCACTTTCCATGGCTTATAGATGGAATTTAAATACCAGAAATAAATAATGAAATTTCTGAAAGGATCTGACTTCTTCAGACTTTGCTATGTCTGGTTAATCAAACTTTAATTTATTCTTTATTAGTTTTCCCCAATTGTCCTTATCTAAAAAGCATGATTCCTTCCAGTTTTAGCTCTGACATATAAAGAGCTTAGAAGTTGTCCTAGATATTTTTCTCATGCCTAAGACAACTCTTATCTGTAAACTCTCAAGAAAAAGCTGGAAAAACTGAACAATCACCTGCTTTGCTTGAATCTGAGAACTGGAGCTGCAGGGTAAGTCTCAAAAGATTTATCCTCAAATCTTGAGAGGCTGGAACATCTAGAGAGATACAGCAACTGAGATCTGCTTACCTGGGGCATAAGCCACTGGAGCTGTAAACTCACAGAGACACTTAGATGGAAATTTTGACAAATTGCTGCCAGCTGAATATGGACTTGCTTGAGAGTGGAGCCCAGCCTTGTAGGTGTGTGTGTGGAGGCACATTTTCCTGGGTTTTTCCTGCAGAAACTCTGCTAAGTTCACATAGTAAAGGTCCAAGAAAGATCCTCTTGTGACCGTGGCAGGGACAGGGAAAAAGTAACAATTGTGAAATATGCCCTGAGATGTCTCCATAATACAGGCACATTCTACAGAGGAAAGGTCTTTTGCCAGAGCACAGTTCTGAACTTTATTTCAGCAGGAGGAAGGGAAATCCTTGTTCCCTTGAAACTTCTTCATCTTCCCTGTCTGTCTTAAATAGGGAACAAAAAATATTTTCAACAGGAGACAAGGTTTTGAGGAAATATGTTGGGAATGCTAAAGCCAGGGGAGAGTGTAGGGAGCAAGGGAAAAAAAATACACCATTGGAGGAGGGACAGAAATACTCATGAAGGCCACAGCCCTGAGACATAAGCTTATTAAAAGATGGAGACATAATTTAAACATTATAGAATGACCCCCCTGCCTTACACCCTAGCACCACATCAAAAGGCTCCAGTAAAATAACAGTGGTTATAGCTGAAAGTACACCGAGAAGCCCCAAAGCGAAGAGGGGAGATAAAATGAAGGATAGTAGAGGAATTTGAAGCCTCTGGTGCTTATAATTACAGCAAACATGAGTACAGTCCAATTCCTAACCAGGTTTACATAAATCCTCATACTAATGCCTATTTAAATCTTCAGTTCCTATTACCTGATACTGCATAGTCAACTTTCAATAAAAAATTACAAGGCTTGCCAAAAGATAAGAAAACCAGTCTGTAGAAAATATAGTCATCAGAACCAGACTCAGATATGACAGAGATGCTAAAATTATCAGGCAGGGCGTGAAAATAACTAGGATTATTATGGTAAGGGTTGTAATGGAAAAAGTGGGCAATATGCAAAAGTAGATGGGAAATGTAAGCAGAGAGATAGAGCATGTAAGAAATAATCAAAAGGAAATGCCAGAAATCAAAAACTCAGTAACAGAAATGAAGAATGCCTTTGGGAGGGAGGCGCTCATCAGTTGACTTGACATAACTGAGGGAAAAAATCAGGGAAGTTAGAGATAGGTCAATAGAAATTTCCCAAGCTAAAAGGCAAAAAGAAAAAAAAAAAAGAAAAACCTGTGAGATAATATGAAAGGGTTTAACATATACCTAATTAGAATACTAAAAGGAGAGGAAGAAAGAAAAGAGAAGTATTTGAAATAATAATTGCTAAGAATTTTCCAAGATTAATGACAGATACCAGTCTACAAATCCAGGAAGCACAGAGGACATCAAGCATAATAAATTTCAAAAAAAAACCCCTCCACACACTTGTGTATAATATCAAACTACAAGAAGTCAAGGACAAAAAGAAAATCTTGAAGGAAGCTAGAGGAAAAAAAAATCACCTTGTCTATACAGGAACAAGGATAAAAATTATAGCAGACTTCTCTTCAGAAACCGTGCCAGAAAGAAGAAAGTACAATGAAATTTTAAAGGTGTTGAAAGAAAAAAAAACCCCACTAACCTAGAATTCTATATCCAACAATATTATCTTTCAAAAAGGAAGAAGAAACAAAGATTTTCTGAGACAAAATATATATCAAAAGAATTCATTAGCAGCAGACCTACCCTGCAAGAAATGTTTTAAAAAGTTCTTCAGGCAAAAGAAAAGCGATATAGGTGAATACATTGGATCTGTATAAAGATAGCATAGAGTAGGAAAAACTTCACCTCTATCCTCTTAGGCTAGGTAAACGGTGCCATGCATTAAAGTGACAAAAGACAGAACAACAGGAGAACAAGGTAGTTTATTTACATGTGCGATGTGCCTCCCATGGGAGAACTCAGTGATGAGTAACTCAATGAGGTGATTCAAATCTGGAGCTTATATACCATTTTAATAGGTGAGGGGGAGGGGGAGAAAGGCACCTAATGTAGAAAGTTGTTGGAAAGACAAATAGATTTTCAGGAGAACAAACAGGAAACAAGAGTTTGTGATACTGTTTGTTTATACAGGTGTAAGTGGTCTTTCTGTCTCCTTCAGGGGTGATAAATCCAAATCACTGGAGAAGGGATTTGGGGTAAGCTTTATGCTCTCTCTTCTAGGAGTAGATTTGCCCTGAAGAGGAATATAGGGCAGCCTTATTTCCAAGAAGTTGCTGCTTTTAGTTAGATATAAGGGAGGCTCCAAGAAGGCTTTTTTTTGGTATCTGTTGAATCTCTGATGCTTTTAGGTACATGATTAATGCATGTAGCATGTCCAACATCATACCTGATGTAAAATAGCTGCAGAAAATAGCACTTATTTTTCTTATGGCTTTTCATAGAATAGCAACTCAATTCTTACCCTCCTTCCTTGGTCTTTATTGTTCTATTTTATAAAAATTCTGTGTTCCTTCCCTGCCATTTCCTTCTAATTTTTTTTGCCCTCATACTATATCTTTCAGTATTGTGTATGTGTTGGACACTATTATATAGAGTGGTGATTAGATGAAACCTAACAGCTTGGGCATAGATTTAGCAATAATTAGTAAATGATTATGATAGTTAATACTAGGAAATTTAACAAATTATTCAGATGGGTTTGTACAATTCTGTAATGTTAACTTTTGCTTGCTGAAGACCGAGAAAAGGAAAAATAAAGGGTTTGGAGAATATGAAAAGCCAGAGAGGCTTTGCCTTGAGTCCTGTGTTTGGCACAGACCAAGAAGGA